TGGCTGTTGATATGTTCTAGTGGCTGTTGATGTGTTCTAGTGGCAACTGATGTGTTCTAGTGGCAGTTGATGTGTTCTAGTGGCTGTTGATGTGTTCTAGTGGCAGCTGATGTGTTCTAGTGGCTGTTGATGTGTTCTAGTGGCTGTTTATGTGTTCTAGTGGCTGTTGATGTGTTCTAGTGGCTGTTGATGTGTTCTAGTGGCTGTTGATGTGTTCTAGTGGCTGTTGATGTGTTCTAGTGGCTGTTGATGTGTTCTAGTGGCAACTGATGTGTTCTAGTGGCTGTTGATGTGTTCTAGTGGCTGTTGATGTGTTCTAGTGGCTGTTGATGTGTTCTAGTGACAACTGATGTGTTCTAGTGGCAGTTGATGTGTTCTAGTGGCTGTTGATGTGTTCTAGTGGCTGTTGATGTGTTCTAGTGGCAACTGATGTGTTCTAGTGGCAGTTGATGTGTTCTAGTGGCTGTTGATGTGTTCTAGTGGCAGCTGATGTGTTCTAGTGGCTGTTGATGTGTTCTAGTGGCTGTTGATGTGTTCTAGTGGCTGTTGATGTGTTCTAGTGGCTGTTGATGTGTTCTAGTGGCAACTAATGTGTTCTAGTGGCAGCTGATGTGTTCTAGTGGTTGTTGATGTGTTCTAGTGGCAGCTGATGTGTTCTAGTGGCTGTTGATGTGTTCTAGTGGCTGTTGATGTGTTCTAGTGGCTGTTGATGTGTTCTAGTGGCTGTTGATGTGTTCTAGTGGCTGTTGATGTGTTCTAGTGGCTGCTGATGTGTTCTAGTGGCTGTTGATGTGTTCTAGTGGCAGCTGATGTGTTCTAGTGGCTGTTGATGTGTTCTAGTGGCTGTTGATGTGTTCTAGTGGCTGTTGATGTGTTCTAGTGGCTGTTGATGTGTTCTAGTGGCTGTTGATGTGTTCTAGTGGCTGTTGATGTGTTCTAGTGGCTGTTGATGTGTTCTAGTGGCTGTTGATGTGTTCTAGTGGCAGCTGATGTGTTCTAGTGGCTGTTGATGTGTTCTAGTGGCTGTTGATGTGTTCTAGTGGCTGTTGATGTGTTCTAGTGGCAGCTGATGTGTTCTAGTGGCTGTTGATGTGTTCTAGTGGCTGTTGATGTGTTCTAGTGGCTGTTGATGTGTTCTAGTGGCAGCTGATGTGTTCTAGTGGCAGCTGATGTGTTCTAGTGGCTGTTGATGTGTTCTAGTGGCTGTTGATGTGTTCTAGTGGCTGTTGATGTGTTCTAGTGGCTGTTGATGTGTTCTAGTGGCAGCTGATGTGTTCTAGTGGCTGTTGATGTGTTCTAGTGGCAACTAATGTGTTCTAGTGGCAGTTGATGTGTTCTAGTGGCAGTTGATGTGTTCTAGTGGCAGTTGATGTGTTCTAGTGGCAGCTGATGTGTTCTAGTGGCAACTGATGTGTTCTAGTGGCAACTAATGTGTTCTAGTGGCAGCTGATGTGTTCTAGTGGCAGTTGATGTGTTCTAGTGGCTGTTGATGTGTTCTAGTGGCAACTAATGTGTTCTAGTGGCAGTTGATGTGTTCTAGTGGCAGTTGATGTGTTCTAGTGGCAGCTGATGTGTTCTAGTGGCAGCTGATGTGTTCTAGTGGCAACTGATGTGTTCTAGTGGCAGTTGATGTGTTCTAGTGGCAGTTGATGTGTTCTAGTGGCAACTAATGTGTTCTAGTGGCAGCTGATGTGTTCTAGTGGCAACTAATGTGTTCTAGTGGTAGCTGATGTGTTCTAGTGGCAGTTGATGTGTTCTAGTGGCAACTAATGTGTTCTAGTGGCAACTAATGTGTTCTAGTGGCAGTTGATGTGTTCTAGTGGCAGTTGATGTGTTCTAGTGGCAGTTGATGTGTTCTAGTGGCAGTTGATGTGTTCTAGTGGCAACTGATGTGTTCTAGTGGCAGTTGATGTGTTCTAGTGGCAACTAATGTGTTCTAGTGGCAACTAATGTGTTCTAGTGGCAGCTGATGTGTTCTAGTGGCAGTTGATGTGTTCTAGTGGCAACTAATGTGTTCTAGTGGCAACTAATGTGTTCTAGTGGCAGCTGATGTGTTCTAGTGGCAGCTGATGTGTTCTAGTGGCAGCTGATGTGTTCTAGTGGCTGTTGATGTTTTCTAGTGGCAACTAATGTGTACTCGTGGCAGTTGATGTGTACTTATGGCAACTATGGTGTATATGGCGTCTGTAGAGTCTACGATTACCACAGTGCCTATGGGGTCTACAGTGCCTTTGGGGGTCTATGGTTTCTACGGTGACTATGAAGTCTACGGTATGTATAGTGTCTAGAATGTGTGTCTAAAAATGTCTACACTGTCTTCAATGTCTACAGAGTTTACACAATCTGCAGTGTTGATATTTGCTACAGGTTCTCCACATACAACAGTGTTTACAATCATCTATACTGCATACAGTGTTTACAATCATCTATACTGCATACAGTGTTTACAATCATCTATACTGCATACAGTGTCTACAATCATCTATACAGCATACAGTGCCTACAGTGAAGAGCACCGTAACAAGCCAACCACTACAGTGAAGCAGACTGGGCAATACATGCAGCTCCAGCCTGACTGATGGTGATCTTCAGGCATTTACGTGTTAATGAAATAATTGTATTTCACTGTTATCGCCCCCACGTGCAGCTGAAGTTGGTGGACCGTGTAACAGTGAATTAGTTTATGCCAACTTGACTGTTCTAAGCTAATTAATGTAGAAACGAATTAAAATGAGCAGAAGAGCGTTTGCCTGTCCTTTAGTGTTTAGTGCATGAGTATGTTATGGCTGGGGAGAGAGAGAGAGAGAGAGAGAGAGAGAGAGAGAGAGAGAGAGAGAGAGAGAGAGAGAGAGAGAGAGAGAGAGAGAGAGAGGAGAGAGAGAGAGAGAGAGAGAGAGAGAGAGAGAGAGAGAGAGAGAGAGAGAGAGAGAGAGAGAGAGAGAGAGAGAGAGAGAGAGAGAGAGAGAGAGAGGGGGAGAGAGAGAGAGAGAGAGAGAGAGAGAGAGAGAGAGAGAGAGAGAGAGAGAGAGAGAGAGAGAGAGAGAGAGAGAGAGAGAGAGAGAGAGAGAGAGGGAGGGAGAGAGAGAGAGAGAGAGAGAGAGAGAGAGAGAGAGAGAGAGAGAGAGAGAGAGAGAGAGAGAGAGAGAGAGAGAGAGAGAGAGAGAGATAAGAGATATCTCTCAGGAATAACAGTCAGCTAACACCCACACACGTGGGGACAGACACCATGGGACACATAGGAACACCATGGGACACATGGGACATCATGAGACACATGGAGACACCATGGGACACAATGAGACACGTGTGGACACCATGGGACACGTGGGGACACCATGGGACACCATGGGACAAGTGGGGACACCATAGGACAGCATGGGACACGTGGGGGGACACCATGAGACACGTGGGGACACCATGGGACACGTGGGAGACACCATGGAACATGTGGGGGACACCATGGGACACCATGAGACACATGGGGACATCATGGGACACGTGGGGACACCATGAGACACGTGGGAACACCATGAGACACGTGGGGACACATGGAGACACCATGAGACACGTGGGGACACCATGAGACACGTGGGAACACCATGGGACACACCATGAGACACGTGGGAACACCATGGGACACGTGGGAACACTATGGGATACCATGGGACAACCTCGCTGGCCAAGACAAAACATCTCATCTTGCTTCACAATTATGTCTCTTATGTCGCCCTGTTCTTCTTTTCTGTCGACAGATGACGCCTTGATCGTAATTCTTTCCCCTCTTCTGTTTACGTGTCGAATATCGTTATTATTTATCATTTATTAACATCGACCAATATCATACGCCTCACTGTCATTTATTCCATTTGACGCCGTAATCATTTAAGGAAATATAGATCTAGTGTTTATTAAGTAAACGCCAGATTGTCCAGATTGTTAGAGTTTGTAGTATGTATAATACATTCTAGAAAAGATAAGATGCAGAACAAAGGGGTAAGGGCTTAATCCTGAGCAGCATTGGTAGTGCAGAAAATTATGACTGCCTCTTCAGAACATGGTATGGCGTGTTGAGTAGTTACCAACGATTCTCGCTTTGAAATGGAGCTCCCACGCTTTTGGAGAGGGCTGTTAATGCCTCGCTGGACATATTGATGAAGATTGATTGATTGATGAAGATTAAGCCACCCTAGAGGTGGCACGGGCATGAATAGCCCGTAATAGACATACTGACGATGGTTATAAGTTGTATGTTATACAATTTCAGTTATTTATACATATATTTATTCCGGTTGTTATACAACCGGAAGAATATATGACAGAATAACATCGATCGCCGTGTGGAAAGCTGGCCAGCATTAGAATGGTATTTAAATACCCATTTATGGACTTGTTCAAGACAATTTGGATAGCTTTTGGGAGACACAAAGGCCCAACATGGAATTACACATTTGTAAAATACAAAACTATACTTGAAGAGAGCATAGACTTGCAACAAGACAACTTCTGAATGAATTTAAAGAAGTGAAACTTTTTAAAGAATTTAAAGAAGCAAAAAGGAGAGGTTAAGGGAACTCAATTTCATAATCCTAGAGTAGAGAAGAAACAAACGGAACATACTGGATATTAAAGGAAAGTAACTAGATGATAAGGAGAACCTCATTTAAGACAGAAAAATTAATTGACAGAATAAATTAACAATAGCATTATGTGTGATTTTAATTATAAATGTATATTTCATTTCGTTCATTCTCTTAATGTAAATTTTAGTATTCATTGGTGCAATTAAAGAAAGAAGAGGAATCGCAATAGACACAGTATATGAAATATTAGCTGGGTGAAGCCTCCTTCTCTAGGCCTTTTCTAGGCCTATATCTCGAGATATAGGCCTAGAGACCGGCTTAGAGAACTACCAAGAAGAGTGTTGTTGGCCACCTCAACCTCTGGCTGATAGATTACTAACCAACCTGCAGGTTTACTTTGGTCCGGAACACCGTTATGGACTAAAGTAAACTTTGAGTGTATATACACCGAAAATCTGGGTACACCTCTCGGTAAACTTTATCTGGGTACACCTCTCGGTAAACCTTATCTGGGTACACCTCTCGGTAAACCTTATCTGGGTACACCTCTCTGTAAACCTTATCTGGGTACACCTCTCGGTAAACCTTATCAGGGTACACCTCTCGGTAAACCTTATCTGGGTACACCTCTCGGTAAACCTTATCTGGGTACACCTCTCTGTAAACCTTATCTGGGTACACCTCTCTGTAAACCTTATCTGGGTACACCTCTCTGTAAACCTTATCTGGGTACACCTCTCTGTAAGCCTTATCTGGGTACACCTCTCGGTAAGCCTTATCTGGGTACACCTCTCGGTAAACATTATCTGGGTACACCTCTCTGTAAACCTTATCTGGGTACACCTCTCGGTAAACCTTATCTGGGTACACCTCTCGGTAAACCTTATCTGGGTACACCTCTCGGTAAACCTTATCTGGGTACACCTCTCTGTAAACTTGATACATTTTCCGGGCGTCAATTTATTCGTTACCATCTAAGTTGTTCAGTTGGAGTTGTCAACAAGCGGAATTTTCACTTGCAAGGTGGTTTATACCTGATCAACCAGGCTGTGACTCATACGTCAGGCTGCGAGCAGCCGCGTCTAACAGCCTGGTTGATCAGTCCAGCAACCAGGAGGCCTGGTCGACGACCGGGCCGCGGGGACACTAAGCCCCGGAAGCACCTCAAGGTAGCCTCAAGGTAGGTGTTAAAGCCGGTTACCCATCATCGTTAACGACCTCGTTTGGCCCTTAAGGTATGCTGCCGGTTGAATTACTTTTTTTTGCATTGAAAATTTGTTTTGCATTTCTGTTTAAATTTGGAGTTCTTATTATTCCATTTCAATTTTGATTTCCAATGATTCCAGTTTCCAGAATTCTGCTTCACCTTTCGTTTTCTGTTCTCAACCTGACACTGATGCTACACTAAGCATTATGCTTTAAGGGTCAAGGTCCTATAATACTGTACGAGTTTATGCTGCAATGGATTAAGGTCCTATATAGTTCTGGGGCCAGATTCACGAAGTAGCTACGCAAGCACTTACGAACCTGTCCATCTTTTCTCGATCTTTAGCGGCTTTGTTTACAATTATTAAACAGTTAATGAGCTCCGAAGCACCAGGAGGCTGTTTATAACAATAACAACAGTTGATTGGCAAGTTTTCGTGCTTGTAAACTGTTTAATAAATGTAAACAAAGCCGTCAAAAATTGAGGAAAGATGTACACGTTCGTAAGGGCTTGGGTAACTGCTTCGTGAATCTGGCCCCTGGTCCTATAATATGTTAAAGATGACCGTTGGTTCGAGGCTGTGCATCAAGTAACCTGCCAACGTTGAACTTATTGCAAGAGCAACAAATACCAATTTTAATTGTTTTTGAACATCTTGTCCTCATTTACTGATGCCATTTCTCAAAATAAATGCATAAGATCTTCTAGTACTTTTATTACACATACAAAAAAGATTTATTCATTGTGAAATATTCTTTAATCTAAACTGTCAGATTGATAATAATGAAATCCAAGTAAAACTAGGAAAAATATATTGGTGTTGGTCTTTGCATTATTAAACTAGTTGATCAACCAATTATTAACTTGTCTCATAGCATCGACACCTTGCTCAGCTCCCGACCGATACCAAGGAACTATTGCTCAAGGCACATCTGAAATGACTCTCCTCCAACGATACCAATGTAAAGTTTGGACACGATAGAGTTTGCGGAGACAACTCACTCTGTACAATATTAAGCTTGCGTGGCGTATCTTGGTGGTTTTACGTGGAGGGATCTGAGTGGCTTACGTGGAGGGATCTGAGTGGCTTACGTGGTGGGGTCTGAGTGGCTTACGTGGAGGGATCTGAGTGGCTTACGTGGTGGGGTCTGAGTGGCATACGTGGTGGGATCTGAGTGGCTTAGATGGAGGGGTCTGAGTGGCTTACATAGCGTGTCACGGTGAGGTGTGTGTAGTGCTCACGTTAACCTGATTGGCTTGTTTACTTAGCGTGTCTTTGCGTATTACGTCACAATTATAACTGAATGTATTAAGAGTCTCAGTGAGTCTTTTCACCAGTCTTCTGGCTTAAATCTATTTCAAATATAACGCGTTTTTTTACCCTGGGGCTTCTGTTCACCTAGCAGCAAATAGGTACCTGGGAGTTAGATCGCTGCTATACGGGCTGCTTCTTGGGGATGTGTGTGTGTGTGTGTGTGTGTGTGTGTGTGTGTGTGTGTGTGTGTGTGTGTTAGAGAAATATATGTAGTAGACCTAATAGAGGAAAAAATAAATTGGTTAGAAAGGCGGGGTCCAAGAGCTAATAGCTCGATTCCGCAGATACAAATAGTAAATATAAATTGTAAATACACACACACACAGACACACACACACACACACACACACACACACACACACACACACACACGCGCTCCTGTTGATTGACGGTTGAGAGGCGGGACCAAAGAGCCAGAGCTCAACCCCCGCAAGCATAATTAGGTGAATTAGATGAATTAGGTGAGTACACACACACACACACACATACACACACAAAACACACACGCACACAGCCACCGAGGCGCCGGTGGCTGTGTGGATAGCATGCTGGTCACATAATCCCGAGGCCCGGGTTCGATTCCCGGCGCCGGCGAGAAACAAAAATGGGCAGAGTTTCTTTCACCCTGATGCTCCTGTTACCTAGCAGTAAATTGGTACCTGGGAGTTAGACAGCTGTTACGGGCTGCTTCCTGGGGGTGTGTGTATGTGTGAACAAAATTAGTTAGTTACTAGTTAGTAACAGTGGATTGATTGACAGTTGAGAGGCGGGCCGATTTAGCAGAGCTTAACCCCCGCAAGCACAACTAGGTGAATGCAACATGGGTGAATACACAAGCACACGCACATAACTCGACTCGACCTGATATTCATCTTGAATGACTCAGAAATAAAGGAAGTCAAATTTGAAGCCCCCATAGGAATGAGTAACCACAGTGTAATGACATTTGAGTATCTGGAAGTGTTAGGGAAAACCTATCCAAGGATGGGATTGGAAGGAAAAAGACTAAATTACTGAAGAGGAAAATATGACGAGATGAGGAACTTCCTAATGGGAATACCATGGGAAACAGAACTCAAAGAAAAGACTGTACAGGATATGATAGATTATGTTACCCAGAAATGTCAGGAAGCTGCAGACAGGTTTATCCCGGCCCAAAAAGAGAAAAATGAAAAACAACAGAAAAATCCATGGTTCAACCAGGAATGTGCGGCAGCGAAGCAATTGAGTAAAAGAACATGGAGAAACTACAGGAAACACAGAACACCAGAGAGCAGGGAGAGATACCAAAAGGCAAGAAATGAGTACCTCAGAATGAGGAGAGAAGCAGAGAGACAGTATGAAAATGACATCACGATTAAAGATAAGACCCAACCAAAACTGCTCCACAGACACATCAGGAGGAAAACAGTAGTGAAGGACCAAGAGATGAAACTGAGAAAACGGGAAAAAAGATATACAGAGAACGACAAGGAGGTGTGCGAAGAACTCAACAAGAGATTCCAGGAGGTTTTTACAATAGAACAAGGAGAGGTCCATGCACTAAATGAGGCAAACCAAGCAACCTTGGAGGAATTTGACCTCACCAGTGAGAAGGTCAAAAGGAATCTGTTGGAGCTGAATGTGACAAAGGCTGTTGGGCCAGACAGAATCTCAGCATGGATACTAAAAGAAGGTGTAGAGGCACTAAATGTGCCACTCTCTATTGTGTATAACAGATCAGGTGAGTACAATGATATATGAAAGTATAATTTAAATGTGTAATTGTAAAATGTAGGAATTAACACTCATACTCCTGATTTTCTCGAATTTGAAACTCTACCTAGAATTACAAAATTGTTGTAATCCATACATTTGATATAACATGATGACGCGACTCTAAAACAAAAGCTATATATATATATATATATATATATATATATATATATATATATATATATATATATATATATATATATATATGTATATATATATATATATATATATATATATATATATATATATATATATATATATATATATATATATATATATATAATTGTGTGCCAACTTGGCAAGCCCGAACAGTTTCCAATACGACCAATAAATCATAAATCCGATCCGTCTCCAACAGTGGAAGTGGATTGGGAATATTGAATTCGTCAATTTCTGATGCAAGAAGTGTTGGAGGCCGCTGGGGAGACCCCAACGTCCTTCCTCGTCGAAGATCAGAAAATGACGAATTTTCAAAGGTCATTAAGTATTGTCAGCAGATATACTGATAGTGTTTTCCGTGAGAAATTTTTAATGCAGAAGTTTCATAATCCTATTTTTATTTTCAGGTGAGGCATTTGAGAGGAATTCTGTGCTGAGTTTCACTTACGAGATGGAGAATGATGGGAAGCTGCCCTTTCTAGATGTAACACTCCCGGAAAGGAGCGGAGCCTTCCACACTGCAGTCTACACTAAGGAAACAAACATAGGAATGTGCCTCAATGCCAATAGTAACTGCCCAGACAGATACAAGAGGAGTGTCGTCAACGCTTACGTCGACCGGGCTCTCAGCCACAGGTCAGGATGGAAGCAAGTCGATGAAGAACTCAGTAGGGTAAGGCAAGTCCTTGTCAACAACGGCTTCTCTAATGGTTTTGTTAAACACATCATAAAAATAAAGGTGAAATGCCATGCAACCTCTGAAGAGTCAACCAACAGAACACCTGTACCCCCTATTACACTATTTTACATGAACTTCTTTTCGACGGCTCATAAAACGGAGGAAAGGGTCCTGAAAGATATTGTTGATAGGAACGTTATCCCTACAGACAAAAATCAGAAAATACAATTGACAAATTTACTATAAAACCAAAAAAACGGCCAATCTACTCATGAAAAACTCCCCAGACACCAAACAGAACGCCTTGAAGGAAACCAACGTCGTTTATGCCTTCAAATGTCCACTTGGGGACTGTAAGCCCCTAAAAACTCAGTATATAGGCAAGACAACAACGTCTCCTTCCAGGCGATTAACAATGCATAAAGAACAGGGCTCCATCAAGGAACATATAATCTCTTCTCACAACCAGATCATCACCAGAGAAATCTTAACAAACAACACAGAAATCATCGATAAATACAGCGATAGCAGGAGGCTCGACATCAGCAAGGCACTACACATCAAAACGTCAACAGAAGCAATCAACAGCCAATTAATAATGCACAACTATATTCTACCCATTTCAAGACCCCGAACCAACATAGAAGCAGGAAGAGGAGGTATGGACCAGTAGGTCTTTTGCAGTTACTTCCATTCTTATCTTTTCATACCCAATTTATACCAATTGTTTCGTGTTCTGCCTTGTGTTTGTCACCTCACCCAAAACTTTTGTGCCATATCACCTCACCCAAAACAAGTATAAGTACGATGAATTTATATGTGTTAACTAA